ATTTTCGTCTGGATTTATTAAGTATTTTTAGAGTAATTGCCCTTCACTTAGTTTCTCAAAAAGGATTTGACATAGTTATTAAACCTTATGGGCAGGTTGCTCAGCATATTTTAGATTTGCACCTGGGGTTTCGCTTGTGGATTTATCCAGTATTTGTAGAGTTATTTCCCTTGACTTAGTAAAAAGATTGACAGAACAGTGGCGCGGTGGGGGCACCCGTGTCCTATGGACACATTTCTAGTTTAGCATCTGATTCATTTTTATAAAAATATCTAAAAAGGTCTATTTTATGTATACATCATGTCTAATCAATTTTTATTGTAGCTGTTGTATCTTTGTTGATCTTATACTTTATGTTATATAGTATATACAGTCGGTTATAAAAGCTCCTAGAGCTTCTGTTGCACTGTTGAAAACTTGCCGACTTGAAATAAAACTTATCTTATCTTATCTTAGTTATGTCCTGCCCTTTTGCTGTGTCACTTTGACTATTCTTCTTCTTCTTGGTACGAAGGACTGAGTAAGTCACTGAAGCACATACTAATAAGGTTGTGCGCTTTATAAAAGACTATAGCCCTAGGACTTCGGTGACAAATAAGGTTCTGTCTGTTTTTAAAATATTAATGTCAGTAATAGAGTTAGACAGTTAAGACTCAACCACATTCATAAAGTTTATTAACTTTATTACAACAAAAGGAATTGTTTAAGGTATGTAGAATATCCAATTTAAGATCTAGTAATTTTAATTTTGTTTTGCCTCAAAATGATTCTCATGTTACAAACACATTTTTCTACAATGCCATAAAAGACAGGAATTCTTTACCAGACAGCATTAGGTCAATCGACAATATCCAAACATTTAAAACGAAAGTAAAACTTTTCTTAAGTAATGAAAATGATAAACAAGTGAATAATATGTTTATTTATTATTAAATTGATGTGTAACTTGGTTTATACAAATTTATTTTAGTTCGTTTGTGTTGGAAGCTATAAGCTTATTAAACACTCTCGAATCCGTTTCTGGAACCAACCAGTACTAAGCAATGAATGTAAAGTTTCTTGCTCAAGGAAACAACGGCTTGTCCCTGACAGGGTTTGAACGCGGTCTCGATGTGTAACTTATGGTAAGGTTTTGTAACATGTTTATGTTGTACTTGATAATGTTTTAGTTTAAACGTTATTTTTTTTCATTTTGTTTGTGTACAATGTACTTGTCTTATTATATTGAAAAATGTGTTTCGATTGTTGAACAATTTTTCAAAAACTGCCATTTATTTTAACTTCTTTATAATTCATTTAGTATTATTTAAGTTAGTGTGATAATTTTACAGTAAATGGACCCCATTGGAAATAAGCTTTAAGCTTAATCGGCAATCCTAGGGTAACATAGATAATACTCATTAATTAATCTTATAAAAAATTTATTTTTGTTGCATTTATGTGTGTGTTTTCATATATATGCAAGTTGATTTGTGTGATAACATTGTATGTGTTTATGTCTATTCCCTGAATAAATCGATACGATAGGCTTGTGATAATAGTGCGCTTTTTGTGTCGCCTCTAGCTGTAGTGACGACATATAGGGATCACTTCTCCGTCGTCTGTATGTCCGTCTGTCTGTCCGTCTGTCTGTCTGTCCGCACTCACAGGAGCTAGAGTAATTATGTGGCTAGAGGGACAATAGGTAACTGTTCTTTCTCTTTGATGTCATTCATTCCGTAATGCTTTTATGTGGCTATTTTCTTTTGTGTGGCTAAAAAGAACAATAGAGAGAACAATAGAGTAGCCACATAATAACTGTCCTGTGATAACGTCCGTCTGTCCGTCCGTCACAAAACTTGTCCGGACTACTCCTCATTAACTACTGGTGCAAATTCATCCAAACTTTACAGGAATGATCAGTACCAAGTCTAGTTGTGCATATTGTCAGCATTTTCCGGTTCAATGATTTTTGTCAGAGTTATGGCCCTTTAATAATTTTTAATTTTAAAATTTGTCCGGACTACTTCTCTTATACCACTAATGCAATTTCAATGAAACTTTACAGGATTGATCTGTAGCTCAAGTCCTTGCGCATGTTGCACGGGTTTTCCGGTTGAATGATTTTTGGCCGAGTTATGGCCCTTTTGATAAAAAGGTGTTTTTTTTCTGTGTGTTGCCAGATACACAAAAGCTTGTCCGGACTACTCCTCATAAACTACTGGTGCAATTTCATCCAAACTTTACAGGAATGATCAGTACCAAGTTTAGTTGTGCATATTGTCAGCATTTTCCGGTTCAATGATTTTTGTCAGAGTTATGGCCCTTTAATAATTTTTATTTTTAAAGTTTGTCCAGACTTCTTCTCTTATACCACTAATGCAATTTCAATGAAACATTACAGGATTGATTTGTAGCTCAAGTCCTTGCGCATGTTGCACGGGTTTTCCGGTTGAATGATTTTTGGCTGAGTTATGGCCCTTTGATAAAAAGGTGTTTTTTTCTGTGTGTTGCCAGATACACAAAAGCTTTTCCGGACTACTCCTCATAAACTACTGATGCACTTTTATCCAAACTTTACAGGAATGATCAGTACCAAGTCTAGTTGTGCACTGTCCGTCTGTCTGTCCGTCTGTCACAAAACTTGTCCCAACAAAAAATTGGCCATCATGAGGCGACACATGTGATCACTGATCACTGATCGCTCTTGTTTCACGTTTTTATTCCTGCGTAAGTGTACAGTGTTTCTGCAAAAGTTCAATAAACCTGGGATGGAAGATAACTGGGACGGAAGATCTTTCTGTCCCAGAATAAACCTAGCTCAGGAAACAAATACTATCGGTGAAATTGTGAGACAATCAGGTAACGTTCAATGTAATCCTGTAAATCCCCCATTCCTCTTTGAAGAAAGGCTTCAAAATACAGAAATTTCATCAATCTTACTTCAGGATGCAAATTAATGATGGTTGTCGGGTACGTGTAAGTGGGGATCATAATATTATTTTATTCAAAGAGTTCATTAAATTCAGTAATTTAATATTCTATTTATCACATACCAAAAATAAAGACCGCTTGAAGTTAAAAAAGAAAACTCTAACATTTAGCTCGTCTTAACGCTATGTTTATATAACGCAAATAGCGTCACGCCAAAATATATGCACTGCCGTGCAATTGTGCAATACCATTTTTACGGAGTCGCAAAAGCGGCACGGGTATATGTGATACATAGAGGATATTGAATGAGTGTAAATTCAATACTGAATTTATTGAACGAGTTGAATAAAGTTATATTGTGCGAGCCTCTGGCGAGCATAATATTATTTTATTCAACGAGTTCAATAAATTCAGCATTTAAATTACACGAATATATGAAGGATATTTGTTTAGGTCAGTGTAAGTCCGGAATAGATCTATTATTTCACCGAGTGAGCACCAAAAGGTATATGTCACGTGTGGCGCAGCCACGAGTGAAATATGAACTTTTGGTGTTCACGAGGTGAAATATATTTCAATCTTATTTCAAACACTAAACTAAACAAATTTTCTTTTTATTATATGCAAAGAAACGTTTAAAAAGGCATTTAACCTACTACTAAATGAAATGCGCGCCAAATATAATACAACGTTATTAAGTTGGTTTCCAGTACTGTGCACGCTGGTATTTCACTGAAACAACGTAAGGGGCTTAAATTCAAAACAGTGAAATTATCGTAATTTCACTGTTTCAAACAGTCAAAATATCAGTTTTATATTTCACTGATATATTTCTATAAACCATTGGAAAGCATGTAATAAAATAAATGACGTCACATTTTATTATCATTTGGCGCAATGTACCTTTTGGTGATCACTCGGTGAAATATTATTAGAATCTTACACTGAACTAAACAAATATCCTCTATCTATTTATCACATATCCAAAATAAAGAGTGTTTAAATTGAAAAAGAATCATTTTTCAATGACGCGCCTATAGTGTAACGCTATCAAATTTTAGCGCGTCTTTACACTACGTTTATATAACGCAAATGTCGGCACGTCAAAATATATGCACTGCCGTGCAAAACCATTTTTACGGAGTCGCAAAATCGGCACGGGTATGTGATACATAGAGGATATTAAATGAGTGTAGGTTCAATACTGAATTAATCGCACAAGTTGAATAAAATTATATTATGCGAGCCTTAGGCTAGCATAATATTATTTTATTCAACGAGTTCAATAAATTCAGTAATGAACTTACACGAATTCAATTTAATTATAATTTAACGCGTCTTTATGCTATGTTTGTATAACGCTAATGACGTCACGTCAAAATATATGCACGGCCGTGCAATACCATATTTACGGAGTCGCAAAATCGGCACGGGTGTGTGATAAAGTGATATACGTGACTCACTTTCTTTAAATGTGTTCAAAACGAAGCTAAATGATAAGTTCAAACACAAACTATTCTCAATTTGTATAAATGCCTCGTTAAACATTTTGACATTTATCCTGATATTACATGTAGTGAATAAAAGATAAGTTGTTGTTGTTGCTGTAGTTCCTAAAAGTTATTTAATTGGAGAAAGATAAATATCTGTTTATCATGCACGTTTGAGAAATTATTGATTGGGTTTTTACGACACACCGACACAGTAAGGTCATTGCATTGTTTTTGCTCATGCGTTGCGTAACGTGTTTAAACTACTTTTCGCTTCATTGTCTTATTATGCTTAAGGAAAGGGTAATTGCTAATGTGGCTAGATCTAAAACTTGTTGTTCAACCCTTTTGCCCTTTGTTAAAATTGTTGTTATGTGAAAATAATGTTCTTGAATTGTATTCAGAGAGCAATAAAATATTATTAAACTAAACTAATAACAACTATTATTTGATTAACATAAATCATACAACTACTAAACTTCTATCTTGTCGAGTCTTCTTTATTGACGACATTTGGATAGACAAATAAATATAATGCCTGGCCTGAATGAAATGATAGATAAACATATCTTATAGTACATAATCTCACAAAGTTCACATTATCTTTTATCTATACAATTTTGTTAAAGGATACTTACTTTATAAGGATGTGTTCTATCATTCTCAAAGTAGCTACAATTATATTGTTGATTTCCGTCGTCGCCGCCGGGAAGAAGCGCTTAGTGTTACACAGCAATGATGACTTACTACAGGCTTATCAGACGTTGCTGTGACAGGTTTGAACATTGCTTTATTCTTTACACGATAGTGTTGTACAAGCGGAGAAAAACAATAGTATTCATCACGTTAACTGAAGCTGTATTACACAATTTCAAAGTGTGCAATTCTTACAATGCAATATTAAGATTATAACTCTTTTTCATTAATAAAATACTGTAAAATAAAGCACTTTTACATATAAGTAAGAAAATATTGATTTTCAATTGATAGGTTGGGTACTACGTAAAGTCTATTATTCATAGATACTGCTCAGTGCTATAAACGTTACACAAGCAGAGAGAAACAATATTATTTATCACATTTTGCTTTACGTATTACTAATATTAATGAAAAAAAAATCCTGTTTATTCACTGACGAAGAACATACTAGTTCGAAATCGATATGAATAATAAATAATTGAATGTACGCGTGATGTTGGTCTTATTGGAATCATATTTAATATTAATTTTGAAACATTACTTTTGTTTAAACTTATCGCAGGACTCTTATCTTAACAATTAAAACACACATCAATTGTTTGCATTCTAAACCTATACAGCAAATGTTAAAAGTGAAGCAATTCTCATTTTTAGGCAAAATTTATATTGATTGACATTATGAAGCAAAGTTATAAACATGCAATGATGAAAGTATGGAAGCCCTGGAGGGACATTTGAAATTAATATTTAAAACTTAAAACTTATTATTTAATTCTTAATATTTAAAATTTAATTCTTAATATTCAAAAATTAAGAACATAATACATAAGACGCGGGTATTTGAATTCAACGGTCTCTTGCAAAAGGTTGCTACACGAAGAAAAATTGGCAAATTCGATATAGCTGCTTACAGGTAATTGTCATTTTTTATTTATATACAATAAACATTCCGAGAAATATTATATCTCGATTTTTATATTTTCATGCTAACAGTTGAAACCATTAAGATATGTTACTTTTATCATGGTGCCGCTTTACATTTTATTGACTACATGGTGTCAAAAGCAGTAGTTGAGAAAGTTTACCAATACATTTTGTTCTGGTTGAAGTTTTAAAAATAACAGCAAAATACCTGCTTGGCAGGGGTTAGGTTTGTCTAACGATAATGTTTAGTTGTTGGTGGTGGATAACAATATTACATGTTTACAGCCCCAGCCCTTTGTTTTTATAACGATATATTTCATTTCTATATATTTCTTTTAAGGTCGTAAACATGGAGATCCCGTTGCTGCTTGCCGTTATCATTTTATTGAAAGTGACTCCTGTATCAACAAATGTGTCATCCCTATTGCCATCTGGAAATGGAAGCACCAGGTTAAAAGTGATTACGCAGTACTTTCATGGTGACTTCAAGTACGCAATAATTGTTTTCTTTGGTCTCCGTCAGTCAAAGAGGATACTTCGTTGTAACTATTACGGGCGTCACCGTGTCATATTTACTCCAAAAGAAGTAGGAAAAGAATTGCAGTTTAGCGGGGACGGCTTATGGTACCAAGGTGGATGAATACGTTGAAGGATTTGAGAGCTCGTGGACGAATTGATACGTCAAACCCTATTCATGCAAAATGCTTTCGATTTTATTTAGCGAATGTTCTTCAAGCGGGACTTTATCGCATTGTATTCACTAGAATTTACACAATGTGCGACCACAGAAGCATGTAGACATGTGCACTTGTATTGGAAGACCAGAAATAAAATGTTGTTAAATGTAATAGAACTTTCAGGTTCTACTGATTATGGTGTTAATGCTGATTTGTAGGATATTGAATATGAAACAAATCCAGATGATTGAACATTAGACAATAATTTATATACTTTTTAATGAATAAACATTGATGTTCATAGTTTTCAGAAGTATGTGCTTTTTATGTTTAACTGCTAGTTAAAATTTCAAGGCCGATCTCGAGTTCGCTTTACTTATTGTTAGAACAGGTCAAATGTCAAACGGAAAAAAATAATAAAAGAACTTAAACACGAGACCTCTCTTGAAACATTCTGATTCTACATTGATGATTGCATGACAAATCTGACTTAGAATAAACATTGCTAGAAATCTTAGTAGACCGTATGTAGGAAATTAGAAAATAAACCATGTGAGCTTTTGTAGGCAGAAATGTTCTCCAGAAGGGATCAAATTTTAGCGCTTTTTAACCCCAAAAGACAATGTTTCAACTTTGACCTACATATATGACCTATGATAAGTTTACAAGTTGTTCCAACTGAAAAAAAAAACATGTAGTGTTCAAAATATTTTTCTTTAATTTGACCTATTTTTTACCCCATATGACCCAGATTCAAACTCGACCTGAAGATTATCCACACAAATATTCTCATAAACTTTTAAGTTCAAGTTGAAAATACAGCATTTAAAGTGTTCTCTATGTTTTTCCTTGATTTCAACTAGTGACCTAGTTTATGACCCCAGATAACCCAGATTAAAAATTGACCTAGAAAATCAATTAGATAAACATTTTGAACAATGTTGATGAAGATGGGATACAAAATGTGACCTGTAATGTGTTCACAAGGGAAATGTTGAGAAACACACCGACAGACGACACACAGTGGGCAATGACAGTAGCTCACCTTTAAGCTGAGCTAAAAAGGAATCAAGATATATCAGATTTTCTCTTTATTGAATTAAACACAGAGCTCTATTCATTTCTGAACAGTTTTCAATGCAAATAGTTATGCATCTAAAATGTTGTTTTAAAATAAACTGGCCAACAAACGTTTGTATACTACTGTTTGATCCACTAAGTCTGTGACAAGCTTTAAACCATCTATATTTTGTTTATTTTGCGTTTATTTAAAAAAAAACTCTAACTCTTGTGAGCTAAAATGGCTGAAATTAACAATGACGAGAAACCCCATCATTTTCGACATTTTTTAAAAACAGTTGGTTACAAGAAATTGATATCTGGTCACAGGTTCCATGATAAAAATAGTAGTACAGTACTTTGACAACTTTGGTATCATCCCTTATGCTACTGTTGCCAAAGTAACGCAAAATAACTGTTTCCATCAAATGGAAAATGTTCCTTATGATTTTCCTGAGCATTAAGCATTTTCACTGATTTTACAGTGCAGTCAGCAGGTAAACCATTCAGTTATGCACTGCTATTTTAAGACAAATAACAGCAAGAAAAGTATGGATGATCATATTTGTTTCCCTTACTGATGGCGTATAGATAGGTTATAGTTGTTTGTTAAAAAGTATAATTAAAAAATAAGGCAGCAAAGTCAGTGTAACAACTTTTACTCTTTTATTACAGTGACTTATCAAAGTACAAAATCAAAGCTAGGTATCTACACTCATCAATGAATAATCGCTTCAGGTCCAATTTCCAATTGATAACAATTTGGGGTAACTACCTACAGCATACAACATAAAAATAAAAGGGTATTCATTCAAAAGTTAAAAACATAGCAAGTTTTGCCATGTGGGTGAGAACTGAAGGCTCAACTAGGCAAACTCAACAAAATGATTATTTTTCAACTAAATAGAACAAGAACTGTCACTAAAAATAAACATATGCCACAAATGTGCTTTGAGCATTTGGCAGGTACAAAAAAACTAACCTTTTACATTGATAAAAGTGTTTAAGAAGCAAACATTATAATAATTATAACATCATCTATAATTGTCAATTAGTTTGTATGTTTATAATTATCACAGGGCTACAGCATATATGTCAGTTGTATACAATTTCACATGAAAACAGAACAACGATTGAAACCACTACAAAATAAATTTCCGTTTATCAACCATTTTTAAATGCTTGTTATTATCATTTTACCAAGAACCAAACAATTACTATCATCAACTTAAAAACTAAATATTGATATGGCCCATTCAATACAAAATGTTGCTGCGATGAAGCTTCTGAACAATTATAAACGTTTCCATCTCTTTCTAGGAAGACTGTGTTCTGTACTTCTGTTCTAGAAACCACATACCCATCTTCAAACGGATCACTTTCATGAATTATCTTTTTCTGGACTCCCAGACGCATTAAAGCACCGCGATATTGATTGGAAAATACTTCAGATTGTTCTTCAGAATGTAATGAGTGCTTAATTTTGCTGTACTTTATGTTAATAGTTCTGTCGCCCTTTTCTACAGGGACTCCATTTATCATGAAACTTTTGTTCTCCTTTTTTTTTATCTCAGGTATATATGGCACTGTGACGCATACAAACTGTTAGCTCCTAAATACTCTGTGAAACTGCATGGATTTTGGTCAACATCAGTATAACTGTCAATCACTTGTCCTGATGCTTAAGCCAATGACAAGTCGTAGTCCTTCACACTGTCCATGTTACTTTCTCCGTCCGGGAAATAGTTACTTAGCGCTTGATATCTTATTCTTTCTACTGCCAGACTTTCCCCAAATGTGTAATACATCACGCGTGCTTATCCACCTTTTGCTTCAGTATCAACTCTGTACTTTCCATCTCGGTAGTTCTGCCATCCCATTTTCATTTTATATGCACTGCTTTGTCCTCTGCCTTTCTTTACAGCAGTTGCCTAAAATATATTAAAGCTTTTATTAACAACCAATTTCATACAATTTTGGCCTAGAGGGACATACTCTATAACTGATGTCAAACTAAACAACCTCCAAAACTTAAATAATAGAATCTTTTAAAATATTATAACTTAAATTAAAAGTTTAAGCTATACATTCCAAATCATTATCGATAAAATCAGCTGTTAAAATATGTTTGCAGTACAATGTACTGTAAAAATAATCTATGTAGAGTTGTTGCTGTACAATTAATGGGTTGAAGCAATTTATTTCAGAACGCCTCTAAATTGATAAATTGTGGTAAAATGAGGTTTCGTTCAGCATAGATTCTTCTTTGACATTGTATTTATTTATCATTTTACTTTCATTGAGCACAAACTTTATGTTTCGAGAATATAATCTGCTATATGTACGGAGTTCCCCTTTATATCTACATCTAAAGTTTTGTTTACCAAACCTGTGGCAAGGTTTTTGCAAACTGCAGGCATTTAAAAGCACACTATTACAACCTATCAGTCTTGTAATGATAATTTCCAATGCAAATCAATGATCATACCAGTAGGATGATGGTAGCCCTAAAACACTCCTCTTAAAATCAAGGCTTTTCATTTAAGATTTACAGTACCTAAATCCACAAGGACAGCATGTCCAGCCTGCTTGATTGTAATGTTTATTTTATAGCAGACGCTGTGAACTGCATCAAAAATGGACTATTCAATGTAGGTATAAACAAATGTGAACAAATGTACCAAGTTATTTTATATTCCCCTCAGCCCAATTCTGACCTTTAACCCCTTCAATCCGGGACGGATTGTCTTTTGCAATAAATAAATAAACCCGCCCAAGCCAGTCCTCACCATGAAATTAAGTGTGTGTGCGTGTCCTAGTGTGATTTAAAACAGTTTTTCTTGTATATAAAGTCCAACTTACTTTACTTCCTTCGCTACTCGTATTCTCGCTGCCGCTACTTGTGGCGTCAATCTGTCAACGGAATGGTTTCCCGCGTCCATTTTTAATGATAAGATTTAATTATTAAATATTAAAAATTTAATTTTAAATATTAAGAATTAAATTTTAAATAATAAGTTTTAAGTTTTAAATATTAATTTAAAATGTCCCTCCAGGGCTTCCATAAGAAAGAACATTGATTTATCATAATTACTTGACAGTCTTGAATTCATTTTATCTGGAAAAGCCATTTCTCATATGATATATTTTTGACAAAATTATATGATTTACAACACAAATGTTCTAGATGAAAACCATGGAGACGAAAATATCAATGATGGAATCTAAAGTGTCTCTGATGCAAAATAATCAAGGTAAATATATGATGCTACAGTCTGATGAAAATAAGTTGATACATTAAAGATATACTATGCTCAAATTTGATATCAGAAAATATTGATAATTGCTGTACAGTTTCTTTGAAAAAATAAAATTAACATGTTTTGACTTCACAGAAAGTAGATATGTCATATTTCAAACTCTAAACACTAGGTGGTCACGATATGAATATATAGTGTAGTTAAAAAAATGGCAGTTTTTTTTAGAAAAGACCATCTTCCATAACTTCTATGTATACATTGTTAATTCATTTTTTTTTATTCAAATTACACAATTTCCGTAAGAATTTCATAGATTTCAATACATTTCTTTGATTAATTTTTTTTACTCAAGGATGAGCATAGTTTATCTTTAATATTCCGGAAAAGAACAACGATACTACAAATGATCAAATTTATTTACTTAAAGAACGCATTTGTGTATAAGGTCGGGAATACGCCGGTAATCTGCTGTAACATGTTGTAATGATAAGTTTGATATTTTGATAACTATAAATAATATATCAATGAAAAGTATAATGTATAAAACAATAGTACAAAATTGAAAAATGCAGGGTGTTCTAAACTCAAGAATAAAGAAGGATAAATTTTGCATTAAGAATAAAATATGTATAAGAAGTGTAAGCACAGAATCCTCATTTGACTTATTACTTCAGTCTCCAAACCAATGCTTAGAAAAATATGAAGGTTTTTCTTTTTAACGGTCTTCCAAATGAGAAGCTTAGTATTCAACAGATAACAGAATTCAATAAACTCAGAATTATGATTAAAAGGTTTCCTCTCAAACGCTAATGAGGGTGATAAGCTTGAAACGACTTTCTTTACTGTTTACAATTTGAAAATATGTCCAGCGTGAAACCTTCGGACTCAATTTTTCCCACAACCCCTCCAAATTAGATACCAGTTTAAAAGGCATCGATTGCTTTACACACATATAAATTATAAATTTTAAACCTGGAACTGACCATGAAAGGCAATATTATAGTTGTATGTCAAACATTTGTATAGTTATTTTGTTTTGTTATACATGTCCATATATATTGGACACATTGAATATTTTTAAATTTTCTGAATCTTTACTATTTACTGATGTGATTTGAAATAGATATGTGAATTGGCATATTAACTTATTTTTGTTAGAATCGTGTCTCATGTGTAACAAACATCTCTTTTCACACAAGCACCAAATGGAGGAAGTACATATGTTCGGTGGGGAAAACAAACATGTCCTGGAAATGGAACATCTACGATGTATTCTGGTAGGGCATAACTTCCTTATTATTTCCTTACTTAAATGTTAAACGAATTTGTCTAGGGTTTGTGAGTCGGACTCGGGCGGTTTTTTTAATAAGTGTTTAGAATATTTTTTTCCCACTCATCTTCATTCTAAGGCAATACTTTCAGGTTTGAGAAAACAATAATCATTTATGTGAATGTTTTAGGTTATGCTGCAGGATCCTACTACACTCACAGTGGAGGCGCAGCAAATTACCTCTGCCTACCCGGGGATCCACAATGGGCGTATTATGAAGATTCTGTTGGCTCTGGCGGGAAAGTGTATGGAGGAGAGTATGAGCTTGGGGACAGCCATGGTAACGGAGGATCACATTATCTAGGCTCAAATGTACGTGACGAAGATGCACCATGCGCCGTCTGCCAGTCACCTAGGTCAAGTGTCCTCATGATTCCGAGTCGGCTCAATTGTTATCCAGGATGGACAAAAGAATATAGCGGGTATCTTATGTCTGGTCATTACCAACACGCATCTGCTACTGAATTCGTTTGCGTGGATTCACATGTTGACGTAGTACCTGGTGGTCACCCGGATCAAGAAGGCCGATTATTTTATCTTGTCGAGGGCATCTGTGGTTCACTGAAATGTCCACCGTATGTGAATGGTCGAGAGCTAACATGTGTTGTTTGTTCAAAATAATGACATAAAACGAAAAAATTCCAAGTCTTTTATTATCTGTGATTAGTATTAAAAAAGCAAAGTACGGACAGGGCGCCGATAAAAACGATTCAATGAAGGAAATTATAGAAATCAAACAAAAGCGTTAAAGGAGGTAATAAATTAAAAGGCCAACACGTACAGGGTGAAGGGTGTAGGGAAAACGGGAGAGGGCACAAGGGCGGTGAATAAGTAACATGACTAGAATCAAAGGGACCGATACGGAAATTAAAGGGACGAGGGGTGTAAGGGAAAAGGGGAAAGGGCAAAAAAAAAATAATAATAAGAGAAAGACCGTTAACGACAATTTTACAAGATAGAACATTACAAAACGTCCAAACATTCAAAACATGTAACAATAAACAAGAAATATATGTGAAACATGTGAAGGAACACAGAGGGGACCGCCTTGGAACAGTCAGTAGCAATGATACAACTGAAGAGTTTAAACCGGTTTAACGCGGACCGAATCTCACTCTTAGTCCCAATATGTTCCTATATGACGAGCCAGTGTAAATAACATAAATCCCCGCCAAGTAAAATTCTAACAATAAAACACATAAATAATCATGTGGACTGCACGCCCTAGTAAAACTGAAAAATATATACCCCATATGATGATGCATGAGACACATCTCCGTCTTAATGTGGATAGTTTTTTGTATTTAGATTTATATTTTACTTACTATAGTATTTTTAATTATAGAAATGTTTAAATCTAAAAAAGACGAGGTTATGTCTGTTTAATTCAATTTAAGCTCACTAGGATATATTTTAGTAACCATTTGATCAAAATAAGGATTATTCATGTAAAGGATATCATCTAGGTAGCGGGAAGGAGGTAAGTGTAATAAAATGCATGTATAATTTCCTGTTAGAGAGAGACTTAACATAAAATCCCTCTCTTAGCAATATAAAGAAGATAATAAAGAAACGACAAACACGACAAAACTGAAAATGTTGCAGGCTTTTAATTAGGTCAGTTCATGGACGGTAATTGTAAGTGTATATGACCCATAACAGAAGTGCTTAATTAAAAAGGAAGACAAAGCAGCAAGGAAATTACCAACAAGGGCCCGACGAAGCAAGACTGAACAAAGATTATTCAGTCCCACTTGATTTTAAAAACTGTCCATCAAAGAGTCTTCAATTTGGTCCGTCAGAAATTACCTACAAGGGCCCAACGAAGCAAGACTGAACAAAGGTTATTCAGTCCCACTAGATTTTAAAAACTGTCCATCAAAATCAAAGAGTCTTCAATTTGGTCCGTCAGATGTAATCAAATGAGGAAAGCGTAGTGTTCAACTGTGAAAGGGTTGTGGTGAGATACGAGAGTCTGACCTTATCCGGGTGATTCCGATACCGGATAGACGAGATTTAGTCCGTGCATGACGAGCAAGATCGAAGCCGCCATCTTGATAGGAACTATAGGAAAGACAACAAGACGAAATCCGAAGTAACTTAGAACTATATACAGTCATCCATACAGGGAAAGTGTTTCAAGGTAAGCAGAACACTTTAATGGTGGCAGCGGTGATTCGAATTCACGTCAACT